TAAAATTTAATTAATAGAACCTTTTTACTTGATTTAATAACTTATTTATTGATCTGAAGAGAACCATTCTAATTATCTTATTGCAACACCAAATACTTATTTTTTTTTTCATTATAAATTTTGTATTGTCAAGTGGCTAAGTACTGTACATTACATTGCTTGGAGGAGAATATTCAGCAGTGGACTTATAATGAGCTGTAATGATGATGATGATGATGAATCAAAAACAAAGCTCTATAAGTTATTAACCAGGGCAATTTTTAAAAGGACTTGTACAAAGTCCAAATTCTAGTTGACAATGAATAGAGAACAGAATATATAAGACATGAAAACTGTTTAAAATTTTAGAAAAATGTAGTTATGCCTTAAAATTCATACAAATTCATATGTAAGGTTGATTTATATGTCCCACTGCTTTGCATAACAGGCCTTCGAAATAGTTTCTTCATCATACCTTCAGTTTTCTGTTCAGTGTTTTACTTCACTAACATGTATGTGGTAAGGTGCCATTCGTTAATATATAGGGATGATTTTGGTGATTTTTGAACCCCCTTTCCCATGTAAGGATACATAAGATTTCTCGAACCACTGACTGCTTCTTATGTAAGATTCTATCTCGTTTTTCAGAATAATAGAATGTCTATTATTCTGTTGGTAAAGGATCAGTTGACACTAAAACTTACAGTTTGATATAAATCAAAGATTTTTATTTTTAACAGATAATTTAGGTTATATTCTTTTATTGCTATCGGATATAGATTACAGTTATATTATTATTTGATTAGAGTTAGGCAACAAGTTTAGATATTATCTAGTCTTTGGAATAACATTAAGTATTTAAATAATCTTAAAGTGAGCAAACATAAATCAATCAAGCAATCTATAAACAAATAATACTTTTAAAATAATGATTGACTAGTTTTTAATTAATCTTATACAGGCTGTGCCAAGGATTTGTTAATATTTGAATGTAACATCCCGCGCAAACACAAGCCGTGCGGGGCACGGGGAAGTCTTGCCACTAGCCCGTTTCTCGGAAATTTAGTCGCAACTCGCAATGGATCGCTTCAAGGGGCCGCAGCACCCTTATTGTGTGAAGCAATTTTATTTAAACAACAATTCACTCATTACTATGAGACGCTTATTTCGCGTTGAATACGATTTACACGACTTAAGTCAGTGTCCAAGTGCTCCTTTAATAAAGAAATGTGTGAAGAAATTCGAAGAGTCGGGATCTACACTAAATGTGAAGCAAACCGGCGGCCCACGGACTTTTCGGAACGAAGGGAACGTGCAGCAAGTTTCCGCTTCTGTTCAAAGTGATCTAGATTTATTGACGCGCAAACGTTCTGCTGAATTAGGATTATCTCGCACATCATTACGCCATATTTTGAAATTAGATTTGAAGTTACATCCGTATAAGATCCAGATAGTGCAAGAACTAAAAATGATTTGAATTTGTGTAAGTCGTATGCCGAAATAATGTACGTGCCGAAATGTGATCGTTTCAGTAATTTTGATAATCTCTTATTTTCCGATGAAGCCCATTTCCACTTCAACGGACATGTCAACAAACAAAATTGGCGGTATTGGAGCAGTGAAAAACCTAAAGCTAAAAACAGGCGAGGCCACTTCATTCTCCTAGGTAACTGTATGGGCAGCAATTTCAGCAAAAGGAATCATTGGACCCTACTTTTTTGAAAATTCTCGCGGCCATTCGGGTAAGTTAATTCTGCTGAGTATGTGAAAATGTTACGGGAGTTCTTGACACCAATGCTGCTGGAATTTGCTGGCTACAACCGTAGCACATGGTTTCAACAAGATGGGGCCACTTGTCACACATCCAACGAGTCCCTGCCTGTGGTCAAAGAAATGTTTCCGGAAAGCCAAGCTCCAAGAAAAGCTTATTTCCAGACGAGGCGACATCCCATGGCCACCCAGGAGCCCAGATCTGTCCCCAGCAGACTTCTTTTTAAGGGGGTATCTAAAGAGTCGTGTCTACATCCATAAACCAAATATATTACATCAACTAAAAAAAATCAGCGAAGAAATGTCGGCAATCTCGCAGTCTCTTTGCCGTCGAGTATACGAAAATTTTGGTGCTCGCTTAGAAGAGTGCAAAAGTCAAAACAGTGGCCATTTAGATGATATTATTTTTAAAAAATAAATTCTAAGTAACAAGCTTTCTTATAAATAAACAATTTTTAAAATATGTCTAATGGTTTTTTATACGATTCTTTTAAAGTTAACTAATTCGTGACCCATCCTGTAGAAAATTAACCACACAGTAAAAGCTATATCAATTCAGATCATCAATTGTCGTATGGACTGAATGCATTAGTAGCCCATGTTGTCCAATCTCAGATTGGTAACTCATCAGATGCAGTGGTAGATCGAAATTTAAATGAAAAATAAAAATTTGTGAAATAAGATATAAATCGAAGTGTAACATTATAGTATTAAGAAAACCATTCAGTATTTGAAATGGAACTGGATTTCTAATATTAAATTTCGACTTTCAAAATATTACATAAGAATGGGTTTTCCCTGTTCCTCCCCAAGATAAGGGTCATATAAAGATTTTAACTCCCCACCCCCATCTTGGGGGGGGGGTTTAAAATCACCCCACCTTCAGAACCCTTACGTAATTAATGAATGGCCTCTAAAACAGTGTTTAAAATTATGATCAAAAATTTCAGTAGTGCCAGCAGGGTTAAACCTAGGTTATTCATGTATGATGAGTAGCGAGTGCCTAGCCCCTGAGCTATTTCTGACTACAATTTTTTGACCTAAGCTCTATTGTATGCCCAAAGGTTGATGTGGCCTTGTTGGTTGTTAGAAGGTTGGAAGGTTGCACACCACATAGCACAGAGTAATAACACTAGCACAGTCTCAAAGTTTCCATTAAATACTATAGACAACTAACTTTAAAGAAAGGATAAGGTTACCAATCCGAGCTTATTTTTCTTAAATGTCTTAATGGCAAATGGCTTAACCAGTTTTATTGATTTATTTATCAAAAGTATACTTTCACACTAATCATCTCGGATTTCAAAATCTGTATTTTTTATAGAATAAGGGTTACAAACGGGTACACAGTCCACCTGATGGTAAGTGAATCCTGTGGTCCATAGACGTCTGTACCTGTCTTTCATTAAAAATAATAAAAAAGCAGATGCAATGCCATGCCAAAAGACTAGGATGGAATACCTGATTTCCAGTAAAAAAGGTCTCCAGTTTGCTGCACCCACCATACTAAACACAGTAACATTGTATTGTGGTATTGTTTGAGAGTGTGATTGTTCCCCAGACGAGCCGACCCATTTGTGTTGCAACCATAATATAATAGATGCAGAATGGCTTTACCATGTGTGATCTGGTGATGATTGACGTCCATTTATATTTATAAATGAAATCAATTGTATATGCAGCAGGTGGAGGGCGAGGCGGCAGCAACTCTGACGAGGAGCGCAAGCCGACACTTGACGACGACATGTACTCTGAAGGTTCCGGAGCGGCGACTGGTGAAGGGCGTCTCAGCACCGAGGAGTTACTCGCCGAGGCTGCCATGCGGAGCGCTCTTGCTGCAGAGAAACAGGCAGAGGCCGTCACTCAGGCCGTGGAACTGTTGCGCGATTTGGTGACATTACTGCGGGAACGCAATCAGCCCGTAAATTCGCAACACGTTCAGCACACAGTACAGCAACATGCAGTACAACAGCACACAGTGCAGCATACAGCGCAGCACGCTCAGCATGCGCCTGACCATACATTGGCTGCTATGCAGCACCACCATCACCGTCTTTGATTCCCAACTAATGGGTATATGTTTACTGTGGTGCTAATTGAACTGTGCTCGCTGAGTGGGAAGAGGCTGGTGACTGATCTGAGCATCTATCTAGTTATAACGTAACCTTTGGAGCAGGCTAGTCTGCCAAAACTCTTGCAATATGCTCTTTCTGATATTTCTTACCCTCTATTTGTAATCAAGATTATCTGTATTGATTTAAAACATTACTCTTAGCACTCAAACGCATTTGTTGAAAAACCTACTATCAGTAGCAGCATGATTATACTGCTGTGTTGTTCACTTTGTAACATTGGATTTTAAGCACTGGCCTTCGTATGTGTCAAAATGGTCAGTAAACAGTTTTGTTTGCAAGGGTATGAGTTAAACATGTTAATCTTGCTGCTTGATTGGTATCGGTATGATAATAATTGTTAAGTAGTCAATAATTGGTCCAAACCACCATGCGAGTTAAAAGTATAAAATTGTGATATGAAAATAAATCTGTGCAAGACTCAACCAGCACTCATACAGTTTAAATGATATAGGTCAGTTGCTAGCAGTGAGATGAAAGCCTTGTTTACATATTGCAGGTAGTGTGTAAGAGGAAATGAATTTTTTAACTTTTATTAGCTTATTCAGTTTAAAGGAGCAGAATTGATAATATTTAGATTTAAAATTAATTTTTATTACAAATCAATGTAACAAGTATACACTATTAACAACGGTGAAATAAATATTTCTTCTATTAATAAAATTGATTGTCCCTATTTTTATTTACATTTTATTACCATTATTTGTATTATCCTTATGACTGTCTCTTTGTATTGTCGTTTATTAAAAAGAGAGATAGCAATTTTAAGCAATTCACACACAGTATAGCTACAATTACTACTTGTACTTGCGCTACAACTACGCGACTTATGTAATGTTTATTTAATTGATCAATACAATTATTGTGTAATTTTGACGGGAATCATACTTTCATTTTGACAGATGACACTTGAACTAATTTTAATGTGTTAATGTCATCAGTATGAATTATATGTCAAAGTGTTTTTCAAACACTTATTAGCTTGCCCTGTTCTTCTAGACATTTGAATGAACCTACCATAATTTATAACACTACAATAATTTCTGACTATGATTCAGTGTTCTTACTAGTCACCACAACTCGCGACCAATGCGTTGTTGATCTTGCTAAGCTCGTATATTATCGTGGTGACGCAATGGCGGTGCGGTGTAGAGCGGAGTGTGGGTGCGTGCGCGTGAGGCCGGCGAGGCTGGCCACGTGCTCGTAGGTCTCGTCGGCGCGGAGGCGCGCGCGCGCCGCGCCGTGGCGCAGCACCGCGTGCAGGTGGGCGGGGCGCGCGCGTAGCTCGGCGGCGCGGGCGCGCAGCGGCGCCAGCGCGGCGCACAGCGCGCCCGCCACCTCGCGCTTGTACTGCGCCGTGCTGAGCCCCGCCGCCTCCTCCACCGCCTCCTCCGGCAGCTTGTCCGCGGCCAGGCAGTGCAGCGTCACCAGGTTCGACACGCCCGCCCGCGTCTCCGGCTCGTACGTCACCTGTACAGTGTCAAACGTACCATCTCATCTAACACTTCTGCCTATACTATACACCGGCTCTGCCCCCTTAACACATTGCGCATTAAGTTACGCTCAAATATCCGTAACTTCTTAAGCCTTCGTATAGTTGAATTGAACAAGATCAACTAACACATTGCGCATTAAGTTACGCTCAAATATCCGTAACTTCTTAAGCCTTCGTATAGTTGAATTGAACAAGATCAACTAACACATTGCGCATTAAGTTACGCTCAAATAACCGTAACCTCTTAAGCCTTCGTATAGTTGAATTGAACAAGATCAACTAACACATTGCGCATTAAGTTACGCTCAAATAACCGTAACCTCTTAAGCCTTCGTATAGTTGAATTGAACAAGATCAACTAACACATTGCGCATTAAGTTACGCTCAAATATCCGTAACTTCTTAAGCCTTCGTATAGTTGAATTGAACAAGATCAACTAACACATTGCGCATTAAGTTACGCTCAAATAACCGTAACCTCTTAAGCCTTCGTATAGTTGAATTGAACAAGATCAACTAACACATTGCGCATTAAGTTACGCTCAAATATCGTAACTTCTTAAGCCTTCGTATAGTTGAATTGAACAAGATCAACTAACACATTGCGCATTAAGTTACGCTCAAATAACCGTAACCTCTTAAGCCTTCGTATAGTTGAATTGAACAAGATCAACTAACACATTGCGCATTAAGTTACGCTCAAATATCCGTAACTTCTTAAGCCTTCGTATAGTTGAATTGAACAAGATCAACTAACACATTGCGCATTAAGTTACGCTCAAATAACCGTAACCTCTTAAGCCTTCGTATAGTTGAATTGAACAAGATCAACTAACACATTGCGCATTAAGTTACGCTCAAATATCCGTAACTTCTTAAGCCTTCGTATAGTTGAATTGAACAAGATCAACTAACACATTGCGCATTAAGTTACGCTCAAATATCCGTAACTTCTTAAGCCTTCGTATAGTTGAATTGAACAAGATCAACTAACACATTGCGCATTAAGTTACGCTCAAATATCCGTAACTTCTTAAGCCTTCGTATAGTTGAATTGAACAAGATCAACTAACACATTGCGCATTAAGTTACGCTCAAATATCCGTAACTTCTTAAGCCTTCGTATAGTTGAATTGAACAAGATCAACTAACACATTGCGCATTAAGTTACGCTCAAATAACCGTAACCTCTTAAGCCTTCGTATAGTTGAATTGAACAAGATCAACTAACCTCTGGAGTAAAATCGGTGACAGCTTTTCTTATCTTAAGTGTTATAGTTTCATCTGAATCTGTCAATAATATTCTTGATTTGGGATCTGGTTCTGACTTTGACATTTTTTTAGAAGGATCCCGTAGACTTTTTATTCTGTCACTGCCATCATCTGCAAAATAAATTACACACTCAGAATAGGGACATAACTTTACTATATAAGAATTCAGGTAATTAAACATCATAATATGGAGGATATTCCTTATATGCTGCTAAAATAAACTACTTAAATCATATTAATATATATGACTACTTAAAAACTACTGCTATTTACCAACTTCCATGTAATTTATAAAATAAAACTAACGCGAATTTTTTTCAATATTGGTCTTACCAGAGACTTACAAGGTACGAAAATTTCCAATTATACTACTGAAAAGAAAACTCCCACATTCTATTCTATTCTATGTATAGAATATAATAGATATTCTATATATGGAATAGATTAACAAAATAAATATTTTATTCAATATTGATAATTACACAATACTTATTTAAAGTAATTTTTAACCACTGGTTCGAAAAATATAGTCCAGTCAAATAAGGTCTGAAATCAAAATTTTAACACTCAACTTTGCATTTTTCATATAATATAGTTTTAATGATAGAAAACCAATGTATAAAGGTTTTCGTTTCCGCAATGTATTAAAAAGCTAAGACGCTAAGACTTTTAGATCTTAGCGGTCAGCCGCCGTAAAGTCTACATCACCTGAAGATGCCTCGTGTAGAGGCGCAACACGTGTCGTATTGTCGTCGATGGTGTGTCTTTCCTGGAACAGTGGTGTTGGGAGTAGTGGTGCTGGGATTAGTGGAGGGCGGGAGGTGCTCTTCAATCCAGGTAAGTCACATTATTGTGTTTTTAATCGGATGGTTGCGAATTAATTAATATCTTTAAAATATTCTGACGACATTTTATAGTACATAATGGAGGTAAAGAACCAATTATTTACTGTAAAATTTTTGAAATGGTTAAAATTCGTAATGATTGGTTTACTGATGATGACGCTGATTTAATGGACGAGTTAAAAACAAAAATTCGAAAGATTGCTGCTAGTATACTTCGTGACACAATTTTAAATGCAATTATTCCGATAAATCATGTCCACCAGCACCAACTTTTCTTGATAATGTTGTTTCTTCAATTCCTCCACTATTAAGTTTATTTTAGGCGACTTATTGGTCAAAGAAAACATACAATATTACAGTGTGAATTTTGTCGTACGTGATAACATTGCTCATTCAATCGCAAGGTTTTTTGCGTCCGAAAAAATTTATTTCATCACTGCAGTTAGCCATTGGTATCTACATTCACAGGAAAACGGGTTTCGAACTGATTGTAAATCTGTTGTCCAAATTGGATGTATGTCCCTCTCATAATAAAAAATAAAATAAGACATTCAATTTCATCAAGCATCGGCAGTTATGAATTCCTTAGTTAAAAAGATGAATGTTTAGACAGACACCTTTTGTTCAATTTGCATTTGACACTATGGATGGCAACGCTAAAACGTTGGACGGTAACGTCTTAATTTCAATAGAGAAAGAAGCTGGGTACTACGACATGCTTGGGATCCTGTAAAAAATAAATAAAATTATAAGTAAACCCAAGCATACCAAGACACAGAACGTTCATTCTGCGTAGATCGGACCATAAATAATAATTAAAAGCTGAAGTTACTCCGGGTTAACATTGACATCAGGACGTCAGTCACCTCAGTCCCCCGTGTTCATGGGTGCTGGAAAGCGAAACGTCGCGAATCAAATAAATCAAATAATTTAAACGCGATAAAATCCATAAAAGTAGTTTTAATCAACGGTAAGGTAACGTTTTATTGTCTTGGGAGGAATCTCAACTTTTACACCTGAGTGGTTCATTTCCTATGAAGGAATTCCAGTAAAACTGAAGAAGATGCCAACAGCCCAAACTCTTGTATCAAAACATGTAGTTGCTAAAGTTCCATATGGGACTTTCAATGGTAAAGCTTTAGAACCAATTAGATTTGTTTCAACCGAACAACTTTGCCTCGGAATAGTACCATTATCATCTGCCTCGTATTCAGCCTATTTATGGACCAAGATTTTTGGGATTTCATAAATACCTACTTGGAAAGGCTTCATGAAAGTACTTTCAACACTAGTTCCTAATTCAATGTCAGAGATTCTCTGTTTGCCATTCGAACTTAATAACTCTAAATACTTCACACTATGCAGCAAGAGAAACTAGCATGTCCAATAGGAAAACCTGTTTTGTCACATACGATCAGCCATTATAAGCTAAAGCGCTTGCAATTGTCCACGAAAGTCAAAGTGAAAAGTTGAAAAATGTAGTCGTTCGTTTAGGCGGACTTCGCATACTCACGTCCTTTCTTGGATCAACTGGATATATTATGGCCGGAAGTGGCATTGAATATTTATGGGGAACTGTATATGCAACAGTATTAGTAAATCAAATGTTATCAGGCCATGCTTATGCAAGAGCATTAAGAGCCCACGGTATGTGTTTTACAGCACTTGGTAATTTGATTTGCAAAAGTTTAAATCCTAGCACCGAATTTTTTTATGAATGAATATTTTAAGGATTGGAATTCAAACACCACTTCTTGCTCGTTGTAATGTGCAACCGGTCATTGTAGATATGTGCAAAAATTTCAAAAAACAAATAAAGACATGGGAAAAAATGGTCCAACTGCAAAGTTGTGGATGTTGTATTTTAAAACTATAATTATTACTTTACAAGTCATTGAGCCAGAACGATTGGGTAACTGGCAACAGCACCTCCAAAGTGTAAAAAATATTTTCATGCCGCTTGTCATTCAGTATCACAACCAATACGCCAAATACGGTCAAATTTACTTACAATCAATGGTTAATTTAAAATTAATAATGGACCCTGTGTGAGGATGGCTGACCCTGGATGACTCGCGCCATGAACTCATGTAACAACTTAAAATAATGGCTGCGTTTGGCAAAAAAAGCGCTAGCATCCGCTTGTAAGCAAAATGGCGAAACTATACAGTTTTCGACCAGGACACGTTTGCTAACTTCAGTAGCGCTGACACAATCCGCCACTTTGCTTATTTATTTTGTTTATTTTGAAGTAGAGTTTATAAGTTCTTTTGTGCAATTAGTTTCAAGTAATATAACGACATGAGTAAACATAATACATGTTATTAAAAATCCATGATTGGTAAGTTACGAATACTATACGATACTTTACAAACACATATTTAAATTAGATTAGGTTACCGGGGAGGTTAAAGCCAATTAAGTGTCCTAGAGGAAAATAGTTATTTACCATTTGACAGCGCTTACCGCTTACGATCGCCATTTTGCTTACAAGGAAGCGCTTGTAAGCAAAATGGCGAGCGCTTTTTTCTGCCAAACGCACCCAATAAAAAACTGCGGTTGTCAACTATGGCAAAATTCCCCCTATGAGGCAATCTATGGGGGAGGCCTACCTTCAGCTGTGGACTTTTATAGGCTGTGATATTGATGATGAGGTCCGATAAAGCGTGGGCTGGAGTCTGGAGTGATATGTCTATCGAAACGACATTAAATCGTTTTTTCGGAATAGACTTAAGGCATGGTAGAGGTGTTGATCCATGTTGTTACTCGATACTTAATGGCAATGCTATCAGCATTTGGAATTATGAAATGTCTGGTAAAGTTGTCTCTTGTAATGGTGAACAAGTAGATTTGTTTAGGAGTAGGATGACTAACGACAACAATGGAATAAGAAGTTATTTTTATTCTGGCTACATGAGCGAAAGCCTTTTAAAAATAGAACATCATTTTTACCATTGTCAACTGGTTTAATTGGAGGGTCAACAACTAACTGCCTGGCAGGCTTAAAGGGAATGGCCACAATGATTGATAAGTTTCATTTTCTAACGCGTTAAAGGTCAAGACACTTATAGCAGCAAAAAAGGTATGCAATAAGAGTTGATTTTGTGGATGTAGATAAGCTAATAGATAAGATAATAGATAGCTTTTATTGATTAAAATAATTTCAGCTTTTTTTCATGGTAATAAAAAATTAACAGGAAAAGCTTTGAACTATGAATTGTCACAATTTCCTTTAAGTGTATTTGACGTGCATGGATTAATGAGAAAAACTATTAAATCTGAACTATACAATGTGTTAATTTTACACTTGATCAAACGAAATATGCGGATACTAGATAAAAAATTATCGGTAAAAAATCGAAATTTTTTTATGTAAACTATTTAAAAAATAAAAGCATTTTAACTTTTTTTGGTAAAATTCCCATCCTTCAGTTTTAAATTATTTTCTCTTTAAGTAAACGGTGTATTTTTTTTCAAAGTAGTTTTATTTGAAAGTTAGAAAGATTAACTAGCAATAAAAATTAAAAAAACCTACGATATCAAGCAGGAAATTTGTCAAAAAAATAATAAGATAATTTTTTTGTTAAAAAAATACTTTTCTTTTTAATTTTTGGTCTGTAACTTCAAAACTAGCACATTGAGGTGACTTTGTCAGCATGTTTTATTAAACTACATAGCGTACTGTACAAGTTCTCCAAAATAACATGGGTTCTGTCTCTTGTCGTTGTTAAGATAATCACTAAAAATAAGGTAGGTAATCTGAGCACAAAATTCAAAAGTGATTTAATAATGATTTAATTGACAAAATTATGGGATAAAACAAAAAAAACCGTAGAAAATTATTTAATTTATTAAATTTTCAAAATGACCACCATTCTCATACATACATACAGTTGCACGTAATGCCGCACTACGTACTGTTTTTTTTTTAATACAATAAGATTTTTTTATTTGACTAGCCGCAGCCATTATTTTTTGTAACAATTCTTCTCTTGTACTAATTGGAGTACTGTACACAATCTGTTTTATGTGGCCCCACAAAAAAAATCTAGGGGGGGTCATATCAGGGCTTCGTGCCGGCCACGCTACTGGTCCGCCTCATAAAAGATTTTTTTCGATTTTTTTACAGATAATTTTTTTTATGTAGTATCCGCACATTTCGTTTGATCAAGTGTAAAATTAACACATTGTATAAGGTATTTGATGGATTTCAGCAATCACTGGCACTAACATTAAATTCAATGTAGTTTGGCCTCATGGAAATAAATACATCTAAATTCTCCATTATTATTATAGATCCATCGTCAAACACTTCTGATTACACGCTACTGTCATTTTTGATGGATATACACAAGAAAAAACAGGCATGAAGTCGTACGAGAGATATCGTAGGAAAGAAAAGTGTGCAGCCGCCGATGTGGATATATTAACACTAACTCAAACCAAATTCCTTACAAACTTTGCAAACAAAGAGAAGTTTGTTGATTTTTATTGGGTAATTATTTGGAACAGAAGATAAACTAATATTGCCAAAGAAGATGCAGATCTTTTGATTATTAGAACAGCTATTGAATTGAAAGCAAACTCTGCTAATCAACCTGTTACGATACTTGGAAATGATGTCAGACACACCATCGACGACAATACGACACGTGTTTCGCCTCTACACGAGGCATCCTCAGGTGATGTAGACTCTGCGGTTGCTGACCGCTACGATCCCAGTCATCTTAGTCTTAGCGGTCAGCCGCCGTAGAGTTGGGAGTAGTGGTGGTGGGATTGGTGGTGACGGGTGGAGGGAGGGCGGGAGGTGCTCTTCAAAGTAGGTAAGACACATCGTTTTATTTTATTGAGCGGATGGTTGCAAATTAACTATTAACATCTTTATTATAATAGATTTTCGCAAAGTAACGCCTGATTCTATTATGTTTTTTTACAATTTGTAAGCCAAATGTATATAAAAAAATCTTAAGTTTTAAAATCAATCCCAACATATCAAGTTATTTTTTATGAATCATGAAACTACTGTCGGAACAATTAAAAAAACCTTCAAATTATTTTGAAATAATAATGTTAAAAAATATACTTCCTGGTTTCGGATTCAATCTCCAAGTAGGCAAAAATAACCGACGATAATTTACTAAAGAGAGTAAATGAACTGCGTGATCTTGGTGTTCAGTTGCATAGTAAGTTGTTACTGAGATCACATATTAATATAATAACTCAAAGAGCTTATAAAATGCTAGGTTTTGTGATGCGTATCTCAAAAGATTTTAAAAACTCTACAACATTAATTATACTATTTAATACTCTGGTGCGATCTATTCTTGAATATTGCTCTTCATGTTGGAATCCTCAATACAAAGTTTATGTTAAAATGATTGAAACAATCAATAATAAGTTTCTGCGTCACTTAAAGCGATATGATTCTTCCGTAGACTCCTTTATTGATAGCTTACACAGTTATACACTCGAAAAACGCCGTGATATAAGAGATCAAATGTTGTTGTACAAATTGCTACATAATATCATCGACTCACCCCTACTTTTAAGCAAAGTGAATCTTGCGTGTCATCGGTTAGGTGCACGAAAAAAGCCTCTTTTTGCATTACGTAAAGTAAAAACGAAGTACGCTTCTAATAATTTTGTATCTCGTACGTGTAAAAATTTTAACTTAAAATATTGTGAACTAGATATTTTTCACCTTAAATACAATAGTTATAAAGAAAATATTGTAAAACTTAATTTATAATTGGTAGCTTCACTATAGGTCGTGTGTATTGTATTACTTTTATTTTATGCTTAGAACTTAATGTTTAATTATAAATCCATTTAGGTTTTTTTTTTTCAATCTTTAAACATATTGTGGTTGCAAGCTTTTAATATGTTTTAGATATCTGTGGAAACTTCATTGGTTTTAGGATTACTTTTATATGTTTTATAATGTATTTTTTTTATTGTACTGTATGTTTCCCTGAAAAAGCAAATAAATAAATAAATAAATAATTCCCGATTTATATTAATGAACGAAAAATAGAGAGTGCAGGAATTATGATTCTCCGATTATGTCTTCTCACTCTTCGGACTCTGACTCATACTCGAACCTCATACCTTACTATGATATAATATACGTACAATAGATTTCTCTTTTTAACTCGGGGTTAATACAACGGCGTAGGATTTGAAAAAGATTTTATACCTGCATAAATTCACACCTGCCAAAATATACTAGGAATTTATTTTTCTCAATCTCGTAATATTTCCTAAGTTTTATATATTTACTTAGAAAATATTACGAGGAATTTAAATATGACAAAAATAATTAATTAATTTTAAGCATTAAAATTTCAATTTGAGTTTCAAATTGTTATATTTGTTTAACATCGAAAACTGTATCTCTAAAATTTTAATTTTAAAATTAAGGAATTTATTTTTTTCAATCTCGTAATATTTCCTAAGTTTTATATACTTACTTAGGAAATATTACGAGGAATCTAAATATGAGAAAAATAATTAATTTTAAGCATTAAAATTTCAATTTGAGTTTCAAATTGTTATATTTGTTTAACATCGAAAATTGTATCTCTAAAATTTCAATTTTAAAATTAAATCTTCAGGTTAGATTTTTTAAGCAATTTAAAAAAATTCGGTTATTTTTCTACTACTTACGATTTTTTAACATTTACATTTATCTCTTAAAATAAAACCTCCATAACTCGGTTAAATTTGACCGGAGGAAAGAAATCAATAAACCTTTTTTATGTAAAATTTTAAGAGCTACACATTTTCGTAAGAACTTTTTGGTCTAATTTATACTGTTTTCGAGTAATGGTAAAAAAACACTTTTGGCAATATTTTTTTAACCCTTGCCGGCGTTTGCAATGCGATGAGCGTCATTTGATTTCAGACCTTATTATTTTATTATTAATACCCGTCCTGGGAAGAACCAGCAAGAAACCTAGCGGGATTAATTTTTTGGGAATACTCTGGTGTAAGCCTCTACCTCACCCCTTAGCTATTCGAGTCTAGACATCCATCTTTCATGCAGCAGGAACGGTTGAAGTAATCGCCACGCTTCGCAAGCAGATTCGCAATTGCGTTAATACACGCTTAGTCCTTCCGGTCTGATGAGTCCACACATCTATCACAGCCACAGGATCTTTCGAGCCCTTTTTATTGGACTTTTTAAGAACCAGTACTTAGGCCAGCGTTTCTTTAACATCATGGTATAGTTTGGCTTCATTCTAAGTGTATAATAGTTCTCAATCACACTGCAAATACTTCACATTACAGAAAAGTTGTTTTCGTTTTTATAAAAAAGGGCAAACGCGCGCGCGCTCCAGCTGACGGTAACCGCCGCCCCTGAACAACTGCAGCAACAGAGCAGGTGCATGTGCGTTGCCGACCTTATAAAAAGGAGTAAGCTCGATTCTTAAAGATTCCTAGACGTATCGATCCTGAAAAATCGGTATACACAAATAATTCAATTATTCAACTGTATTGGGATATATACCGGGCAGAAGAGGTCGCGGCGTGGGGAAGGCGGGCCCGTAGCGGTGGCGGAACGTGCGCACCAGCTGCGAGGCCACCTGCAGGTGTTGCAGCTGGTCTGCGCCAACCGGCACGTGTGTACCGCGGTACACCAGTATGTCCGCCGCCTGTTACATCTTATATTTAATAATAATAATTGCTTTATTTCACCAATCACTTTTACAAATAAATGTGAAATTCCCAACTTATTTAATCCTAATAATTACTCAGTAGACTTTAGTTAGGATCTTAAAATCATGTGATGTTTTGAAATCAAGACAAGCATAATAAATTATTATTCATTATAAAAGTACATATAAAACGTAACATAATATGTAACTTCAACTTATTTTTAACTAGCGATCCGTGCCGGTTCACATAGGTGATTTTTGGATCTCGACAAAACATATGCATACATATTATACATATAAAACGTCCTATAATCATTTTTTAAATTTACGCGAACACTATACATTGAATAAAACTATATTTCTAATTAACTATAATTTTATAATTACTATACTTTTAGAACTTTTTTGTCCAAAGCACCCGAAACGTCGGGAATTAAAAATAAGTTATAATAAATTATTAAACGCGATAAAATCCGGATATATAGTTTTATTCAATATAAACCTTCCTATTGAATCATTCTGTCTTGATATAAACCGCATCGAAATCCGTTACGTAGTTTAAAAGATCTAAGCGTACAGACGGTGGGAAGCGACTTTATACTATGTAAGAGATTTATGGCGTTTTGAGTGCTTTAGAGGGCTCATGTACATGAAGATTGAATGTTAAATATAAATAAGATCGTTCGTAAGTTAGTTGGGTGTAACATATGGGACAGAAAAGGTTAGTTAGTAATATTACCTTCTAGACATAGGTCTCTCCCACTGCAGGCAAGATTTGCATTAATTGTCACGCTCGCCAGGGGACTGACAATGTTAGTACCAGACGTCTCGCACCTCAGATGTGGACGCTGCTTCCCGTCGCCGGTGTAAGCACCTTACGTTTAGCCTGAACGAGATGTACGACTATCGTGTGGTGGTGGTGTGAGTATATCCACTGCCCCAAATCGTCCCTTCGGTGTACGTGGTGGAGCCACGCTGCAGTTACATTAATAGTATAGTTGTAGCACGGATGGGTCGGCTCGACCGGGGACGGGCTAGCTTAATGCTGCTATGTTTCGTATGGTGAGTGTAGAGAACCGGAGACCCTTTTTACTGGAAACGAGGCATTCCATCTTAGTCCTCACGGGTGTACAACGCATCTGCATTTTGATTTGTAATCAAGGATAAATGTAGGTGTCTATGGGCCACAGCAATCACTTACCATCAGGTGGACAGTGTGCTCGTTTGTTGCCCTATCCTATAAAAAAGAGGCAGCAGAGGGAAACAAATCAGGAGATGGGCAGCAGCGTCTTCCTGATAACTCGCCTGCCAAGCGTAGCAGCTGTGGTTAATATGTTAGGTTCATAATGATTTCTTATATTTACGCGAACACTATACATTGATTAGAACTACTTTTACGGATTTTATCGCGTTTTATTTATATTAATTTTAATACCCGACGTTTCGGGAGCTTTCCAGCACCCATGGTCACGGGGGACTGAGGTGACTGACGTCCCGATATCAAAGTTAACCCGGAGTACCTTCAGCTTTTTAATTATTGTCTTTGGTCCGATCTACGCACAATGAACATAACATAAACACTCACGCCTGTCACCCAGAGGGGTAGGCAGAGACTACAGACTTCCATTTGGCACGATCCTGACACACCTCTCTTGCCTCCTTCACATCCATACACCTCCGCATACATGATCGTCGGTTAAGGGTACTCCTAATTTGGCCCGTTTTCAATAAATCGCCAATTTGGTCGATAAATTTTCGCCTAGGACGTCCCTTTCCGACTCTGCCATTCACTTCTGCAACATAAATTTTCTTTGTCACTCTTTCCTCATTCATTCTTTCCACATGACCAAACCACCGAAGCATTCCTTTCTTAATCCTGGTCACAACATCATCTTGCAAACCACACTCTTCTCTTATTACACAATGTCTTACCCTGTCCTTAAGATTCAGCCCTAACATACTCCTTAACGACCGCATTTCTACTGCGTTTATTCTACTCCCGTGCTTCTTCTGCCACACCCAACTTTCACTACCATACGTTAAAGTAGGGACCAACACAGCATTGTGAATTGCCATACGTGCCTTCTTCGACACATTTTGACTCTTCACAATAGAGTGCAGGGCCCCATTTACTCTATTTCCCGCATTCACTCGTCGTTCTATATCCTTATCATATCTCCCATCCCTGCTAAATACGCGGCCCAAATATACAAACTCATCTACTTACTCGATCAACTCCCCTTCTATTCTTATTTCACAAATCGTTTTACTTTCTTCTCTTTCAAAAACCATAACCTTCGTCTTACTTGCGTTCACTTTCATACCCCTTTCTTTTAATGATCTATTCATTAATGTAACCATCATTTGCAACTCGGCCGCCGACGACGCAAGGATAACTTGATCATCGGCGTACAAAAGGCATTTGACGGTTAACTCACCCATTCTTAATCCGCATTCTTCAACTTTCAAATTTTGCAAACAACTGTCCATAAATAGGTTGAACAGCCACGGGGAAGCCACACAGCCCTGTCTGACACCTTTATGGATGTCAAACCAGTCCGAGTAGACCCCGTTGATCCTAACACAAGCACTAGAGTCCCTATAAAGGGACTCCAATGCCTGTATCAAGCCAGCGCCCAACCCAAATGACTTCAGTGTTTGCCATAGCACATCCCTATTCACTCTGTCATAGGCCTTTTCCAAGTCCATGAACGCACAAAAAACTTTTGGTATTTGGCCAAAAACTTCTCCGCGATAATGCGCATGGAAAAGACTTGATCTGTACATCCCATTCCCTTTCTAAATCCCGCTTGCACATCCCAAATTTTTCCATCAGTTTCTTTCATGACCCTTTCAATCAGTACCTTAGCATACAGTTTTCCCACAATGCTAAGAAGGCTGATGCCACGGTAATTTTTACAGTCCTGCTGCGACCCTTTTCCCTTATATACTGGGACTATCACGGCTTTGCACCAGTCTACCGGTACCCCCTTCAGTTCCCAGCATAAATTAAACAAGGTGTGCAGCAGGCCTGCCACCACTTCCTCTCCAGCCCTTAGCATTTCGAGTGAAACTCTATCATATCCAGCAGCCTTACCTGCTTTCATGCTTTTCATTGCTTTCATTATTTCACCTATACTTATCTCGCTACCTCTTTCCTCTTCTTTCGGAATTTCTACTTCACTTAGTATACACGTTGTCTCCTCACTCATAAACACGCTTTCAAAATATTCCTTCCATCTCTTTAAACTCAAAACTTCATCATTCAGAATATAGCCATTCTCGTCTCTTATAGCATTCATCATAGGCTGTTTCGAATGTCCCCTGGCAGTTCTTACAAGTTTCCAGAACATTTTAATATTTGCCTGGAAATTATCCGATATTCTTCTATCATTCTTATGCGTTCTTTCTTGCTTTTTTTTTCAACTACTTCTTTTACTCTCTTATTAAGATGTCTAAAGACTGCCCTTTTTCTTACAATATCATCATTCGTACCGCTAGAATTACCAGCCTTTGTTGCTAGTAAATCTAGCCATGCTCTCTTCTTTGCTTCAACTTCCATACGTACCTCATCATCCCACCATAACGTATTATTTTTCTTTCATTCTTTCTCTTACTAACACCACATACTTCGGTAGCTGCATCCACTAAACCTTTCTTTACATTTTGCCATACATTCTCCAAGTCTAACTCCTTCATACATAATTCATCCAAACCACTTATATTTTCTTTCAGTCTACATTTGAACTTGTTTTTCTCACCTTCATCGTATAACCTTTCTGTTCTAATACGCTGTAACGCAGTGGTAGACACAGATGATCGATGGCGCCAACGCCTGAATAGACCATTAATTCGGCGTAAAACCAAATAATGATCCGTTCCTACGTTAGAACCCCGGTAAACCCTTGTATCCACCACTGCGCCCCTCAATCTTTCATCCACAATTATTAAATCTATCATGCTTCTATCGTCACCTCTTTCCCAAGTATACATGTGAATCCTCTTGTGGCGAAAGCAAGTGTTCGTCACAAAAAGATTCTTTTCCATACATACGGTGAGGAGACTTTCACCATTCTCATTTATACTTTCATCACCAAACGTTCCCAATATCCTTTCATAACCAAGCCTCCTCACCCCAACCCTTCCATTAAAATCTCCTAGCATAATAATATTTTCATTTCCCTTACACTTCATTAACACCATCCTTACCATTTCCCAAAACTGCTCTCGGATATAAGTGGGCTTAGACATGTCTGGGGCGTAGAGCCCTAACACAAACAACTTCTTTAAGCCCACTTTCATTCGTATCCATAGCAGTCTTGGGCTTACACATTCATACTCTTTCACACATTGGCCCATTCTTTCTGAAAGGATGATACCTACCCCCTGGCATGCCCGCTCGATCTCGTCTACACCAGACCAGTATGCGGTATACGTGCCATGTGTAGTGACATCCTTCCCCTTCCTTTTCGTCTCATTTACACATAACACATCTATTCCTCTATCATACATCATATCGCATACTTCATCCATTTTATCATTCATTGCCCCACATACATTCAACGTAGCCAGACGGGCCTCTGCAACCCACTTTTCGCTTCTCCGGGAGACAGAACGTGACGGGTGGCGAACCTCGTCGCCGGTTTTCCTCCCGGAGATTCTTCGCACCCCTGCCCCATTAAAGGGGCGCCGGGAACTCGGGGCCATTTCTTTTACATGGTTCCTCATGGTGCGGATAAAGGGTAGTATATTTTACGCCTCTACCACGGCGTGGAGCCAAGTCTGTGCTATCGGCAGAATGAACTAACTGTATTTTGAAGTCTTGCAGTGGTATGCTTGGGTTTAGTTTTAATTTTATTAATTATAGGATCCCAAGCAGGTGGTAGTACCCAGCCTCCTTCTCTATTGAAATTAGGATGTTTTTTAATTTCAATAGCCTCACGTATCATCCTTGGTAGGAATCGATGGTCTTTCACGAGGATTTGTGGTCTATCAAA